AAAGTTGACTCACAATGGATCACATACCTAAATACAAGAGCTTAAAACCTATAGCCAGAATATTAAGTTTCAGAATTTAATAATAACCCAATTTAAATAATGGACATAAGAGCTGAAGACACGGGGGGAGGGGGGAGGGATTGCATTGGGAGTTATACCTGATGTAAATGACGAGTTGATGGGTGCAGCACAGCAACATGGCACAAGTATACATATGTAACAAACCTGCACGTTATGCACATGTACCCTACAACTTAAAGTATAATAATAATAAATAAATTTAAAAATAAAAATAAAAGAGCTGAAGACACTTTATCAAAGAAGATATACAGAAGACAAATATACACATGAAAAGATACTCAGCCTCATTAATCTTATTTATTTATTTATGGAGACGGAGTCTCACTCTGTCACCTAGGCTGGAGTGCAGTGGTGTGATCTCAGCTCACAGCAACCTCCACCTCCTGGGTTCAAGCGATTCTCCTGCCTCAGCCTCCCGAGTAGCTGAGATTACAGGCACACACCACCATGCCCGGCTTTTTTAAAATATATTTTTAGTAGAGATGGGGTTTCACCGTTTTGGCCAGGCTGGTCTCAAACTCCTGACCTCGGGTGATCCACCCGCCTTGGTCTTCCAAAGTGCTGGGATTACAGGTGTGAGCTACCTCACCCAGCTGACCTCATTAATCTTTAGTGAAATGCAAATTAAGATCACAATGAGGCCGGGTGCAGTTGCTCATGCCGGTAATCCTAGCACTTTGGGAGGCCAAGGTGGGCGGATCACCTGAGGTCAGGGGTTCAAGACCAGCCTGGACAACATGGTGAATCCCTGTCTCTACTAAATATACAAAAATTAGCTGGGTGGGGTGGCACACACTTGTAATCCTGGCTACTCAGGAGGCAGAGGATGTAGTGAGCTGAGATTGTGCCACTGTACTCCATCCTGTGCAACAGAATGAGACACCATTAAACACCTCTAAGGATCGTCTGAAACTGAGAAGACCATATCAAATATAATCAAGGATATGGAGTAACTGGAACTGTGATGCACTGTGGTAGGAATGTAAAATGGTACAACTGACTTGGAAAACAATCTAGAAGTTTCTTAGAACGTTTAACATGCATTATAGTCGTCTCTCCATATCTGCTTTGGAACCTGTGGATACAAAGGGCTGACTGTACTACCTCTTTTTATTTATTTATTTATTTATTTATTTATTTATTTATTTAGAGATTCTGTTTTGCTTTCACCCAGGCTGGAGTGCAGTGGCGTGATCTCGGCTCACTACAACCTCCGCCTCCCGGGTTCAGGCAATTCTCTGCCTCAGCCTCCTGAGTAGCTGGGATTACAGGTGCCTGCCTCCATGTCCGGCTAATTTTTTTGTATTTTTAGTAGAGATGGGGTTTCACCAAATTGTCCAGGCTGGTCTTGAACTCCTGACCTCGTGATCCACCCATCTCAGCCTCCCAAAGTGCTGGGATTATAGGCATGAGCCCCTGTGCCCGGCCACTACCTCATTTTATATGAGAGATGTAAGCGTCTGGGAATTTGATATCCAAGGGGAGATGGAGTCCTGGAACCAATCCCCTGCGGTTGCTGGAGAGCTGTACTTATCATTTGACCTAGCCATTCCACCCCTTAGTATTAACACAAGGAAAATTAACATGTATATTTCCATACAAAGGTTTGTTCATCAGTGTTTATAGTGACTTTGTTTATAATAGCCAAAACCCAGAATTATCCCTAATGTCCACCAGCATATGAATGGATAAACAAATTGTGTTATACCCATATAATGGATTAGTATTCAGCACTAACAAATAATGAAGTACAGATACATGCAAAAATAGGGACAAATAATTATTTTTGTGCTTAAATAATTATGCTGAGTGAAAGAATCCTGATTAAAAATAATCTTTGTGATTCCACTCATATATATAATTCTAGAAAATATAAACTGATCTATAGCAAGAGAAAGCAGATCCTTCGTTGCTTGGGAATAGAGGGCTATGGGGAAGGGCAAAGGGAGGAAGACCAAGGGTCACAGGAAACTTTTGGTGATGATAGATATGCTCATTGGCCTTTTTTTTTTTTTTTCATGAGACAGGATCTTGCTTTGTTGCCCAGGTTGGAGTGCAGTGGTATGAACGTGACTCACTGCAGCCTCGACTTCCTTGGGCTCAAGCGATCCTCATGCTTCAGCCTCTCAAGTAGCTGGGACCACAGCCATGCACCACCATGCTTGCCTAAGTTTTGTATTTTTTTTAGACATGGTGGCTCGCCATGTTGCCCAGGCTGGTCTCAAACTCCTGGGCTCAAGCAGTCCTCCTACCTTTCCCTCCCAAAGTACTTTGACTACAGGAACTACCACCTCCCCTGGCCCATTTGTTATCTTTATTGTTGTGGTAATGTTATGGATGTGTGCTTATGTCAAAATGTATCAAATTATATACTTTAAGTATGAGCAACTTATATGTCTATTATGCTTCAATAGATCTATTTTTAAGCAAACTTAGGGAAGTACAATGTGTACTAAATCAGATTACAAAATCATTGTGTTTTTTGTTCATAAAGAGAATTGTTGAGACACATATTCATGTGCCTACATGGTATCTCCAGTGGGATATTTTTTAGGCATCTCCAGACTGAAATCCCTGAAGCTAAACTCTAAAATTAATCTCTAACTTCTTTTCCTCCTTTCCTCTCTATTCTGGTTTTGTTTTCTTGTGTTTTTTTTTTTTTTTTTTTCATCTTTATAAATAGTGTGCCCATCTCCCCGTTTTTCATGCAAGAAGCTAGGAAATCATCTTTGTTATTTATGTTACCCTCTTATCTACTTTATCACCAAGTTGTGTCATTGAGAGCACATTTCAAATTTGTAATCTCGTCTTTCACCACTACCATTACCCCAGTTCAAGTCATCATCCTCTCACTAAAAGCCCCTTGGTGTTATTCTTGACTCCCCTCAATCCAGTGATCAGAAAACAGCCGCAGCAGATCTTTTCAACGATTTACGTTGCTCTTAGGATACAATCTAAAATCATTTTAATATGATCAGTTCCTCTTTTCCTCTTGCTTATTATGTTCTGACTACTGTTATAAATAAAGTTTCAATGCTGCAAAAAAAATAGCACTCAAACATAAAATTTTCTTTTTAATTCTCAGCAAGGCAAGGTACTTCTATAGAAGGGTGTGCCCTTATAAATGGAGCAATGGTGGTCACCCAGTTGGACAAGGGAGGGGAAGGGGTTCTTATTCCTGATGCATGTAGCCCCTGCTTCTGTGTTGTTCCCTTATTGGCTAGGGTTAGACCGCACAGGCTAAACTAATTCTGATTGGCTAAGGAGAATGACCGGGTAAGTGGTTTGGCGGGAAAAATGGGTATGACAGAGCAGGTAATCAAAATGAGTCAGGATGGAGTAGGTAACTGGAATGAGTCAGGGTGGAGCAGGTAATCGGAATGAGTCAGGGTGGAGTAGATAATCGGAATGAGTCAGGGTGGAGCAGGTAATGAAAAAGCTTGCTTTATGAGGAAGTTAAGTTTATAAGTAGAAGGCAGAGAATTGAACATACTGACATATTGATTCTTTGAAAAGAAATTTAGAACTCATAATACTACACTGGCTGCATTTCAGTTTCTTGAAATCTCCAAACTCTTTTTACTACAGAATTTTCTCACATGGTATTTTCTGAACCTGCACTAGTATTTTTTTTTTCCTCCCTTAATCTTTCAGTAGCTACTTCAGTCTGTGCTTCAAGTGTCAGTTTAAATGCCTCTTCTTCAGAGAGACTTCTTCCTGACTTGCTCAATCTAAATTGGAACCCACACCAGTACCCTGTAGGTTTTCTTCATAGTTGTTATTCAGGGTGTTTTGCTTCTGGGTTTTTTCTTTTTTGGAGGGAGGAGGTGTTAAGTTGGATGTATGGGAGATTATTTGTTCTTGTAGTGGTCTGAAAAAGTCCTTGAAAGTTGATATCATATATGTTTTGTTCACTGCTGCGGGTGGCCACCATCCAGCTTTCCCTGGTGCAATCAACATTTGTTGAGTGAATGTTTAGAGAAAATGTGTTGGAAGTAAATATATCAGTGGTTGCCTTTGAGTGGTGCATGTTTGGTTTTGTAAGATTACCACAGTGAGCCATAATAACTTTCAAATCAGAAAAGTTATAAATTATCTCCGTAACTTTGTGTATACTGTTTGCCTTTACTAGAGAGGAAAAAGCAAATGATGTTTTGGAACTTTGGATTCTTGCTCTTGATACTGTTAGAATATTAGTTACTTGATATATTACTTGCCTTTTCATATTTCTGAGTTGTGCAGGCATAGGGGGCACTGTTTATATTGTATTGTTTATGAATGGGAACTTCTGGATTAGTGTGAAGCAGAGACTCTTCTTTTAGTACCATTTTTAGGTATAGTTTGCCTGGAACTGTGTTTATGCTTCTCTCCTGGATTGCCTACAATGTATATACCATCTTGCGCCCTTTAGCTTAGAAAGTCTTTCTGTATGTCTCTGTTTTTGTCACATTTAAAAAAATAAGTCACCTTTAGGATATATTACATTCTTTATCATAGTTTTGACCAATGTCAACTTAGGAGAAATTTAAGATTTTTTGAATTCTTAATATTAATCTCTGACAACTCTGGGGCTGGGCATTTGGTGAATATCCTCTAAACTTTTTAAATTTTTACTGAAAATCACATATTTCTGTTTTCAGAAATTTAAAAGCCGTAGGTATCTTTTTCTTGTAATTCTCCACACTGCTTCAGAAATGGTAATAGGTTTAGTCCTTCCAGGTTCTTCAAGTATAATTTTCAGAGAATTACTAACGTGACTGAGTAGCTTAGTATATTTATTTTTTACCCATACTTTAAATGAACTTTTTTTCACCTAGCAATGCTTTTTATAATTTTGTTTGTATTCTTTTACTTTTTAAGATGTCCTTTGTTAATGTTATTTTGTTTCTATAATAAATGTATGCCAACTTTTTTAACAGATAAAATAATTAGGCACAGGGCTTGTACCCTGAAGGACACTGCACATGCTATCATTGCGGCTGAATTAGATCCAGAATTTAATAAACTTTGTGAGGAAATTAAGGAAGCAAGAATAAAAAGAGGTAAGTTGTAGAAATAAACTTGGCACTGAAGCCTCGTGTGCTCTGTTCAGGCCAAGAGTCCTTCAATGATGTTTTTTTAGGGTTGCTGGTATTATGAAAGTAATGTATTTAATGTATGTATTTAATTTCTGATACTAATATGTTATGTAAATTCTCAAAGATACTTTCCAACTTTACCTACTGTGAAAGTTTTAGTGTGATAGTGAGTATTACAGAAATGAAGTGTTTCTTAGTGAAATTTGTTTTGTAGGAGCATATCTTTTTTAAGAATTTATTTCTAAATGGATTTAGATATTAGATATGGAAAGGTTTTATTTTTCATCAGTTTACTTTCTGGTACTTTAAAAACATGTTTAGGAATACTGTTTTTCCCACTCTAGTGAAATTTATATGCAATTTTGTTATTAGAAACACAGAATTAGCAATTGTGGTTTGTCGATTCAGTTTATAATCTTGTCCTTGAGGAACTCACATTTTAGTAGGAGAGAGAGAAATGTAAAACAAATCAAGTACAGTGTATTGTAGGCACTGGTTGAAGCATGTTCAGATCACAGAGACGAGAGACCTCCTAGTAGGGAACCAGAGTAAGGAGTGAATATAGAAGTGTTCTCTTTAATGGACTAGGGAGGCAGTGACAGAGGAGGAGGAGGTGTATTGCAAACAGAGAAAACAATAGCATATGTAAAGGCACACAGGTGTGAAATAGCTTGATGTGTGTTAGAAGATCTTTAAACTGGTATTGCTAAAGATATACAGAATGCTGGAAATAGGGCTCAAGAGGTGCGGGGTCCAGGACACAAAGATTATGAAGAAACTTTTCTTCTACCTTTTTAGAGAGCTTTTCCCTGACCACCTAATCTAATAGAGGCTTTGGTAGCATTTGGCATTATATTATTATTTTTTTTTTTTGTCATGTCCTCCTTATTTAGGGTATCAGCACTTCAGATGTCTTGTTTATAGCTTTACTTCAATCCCTAGAACCCAGTCTGATATAAAACAGGTTTTTGGTAAATATTTGAATAAATCAATGCCATGCTAAGGAGTTTGTACTTTATCTTGTAGATCAGTGTTTTCAAAAATGTCTGCCTATTACCATTAGCTTAGACCTATGAATTAGATTCTCTGAGAATATTAAGGCCAAGAAATCTTTATTTGAACAAACTACCTAAGAGATTTTATGTACACTACAGTTTGATAGCCATAGGCAATAGAAATAATTGAAGGATTTTAAGCAGTGAAATGAATTGGTCGAATTGTCTTGGTGGGAAGAAGTAGCATAGTTCCAATGTGCCAGGGTAGGAAAATGAGAGATCAGTTTAAAAGCTGTTGGAGCCCATTTGAAAAGGATTTGGCAATTTCTAAAAAATTAAACATGGATTTACTATATGACCCAGTGATTCTACTCTTAGGAATCTACCCAAGAAAAATGAAAATACATGTCCACACAAACACTTGTATGTTCATAGGACCATTGTTTATAATAACCACAAACTGGAAACATCCCAGATGTCTGTCAGCTGGTGAATGGGTAAGGAAAGCACAGGATACCCATGTGAGTGCGTACTACTTAGTAATAAAAGGGAACAGAGTACTGATACACAGTACAACATGGACAAATTTCAAAAACATGCTGGCTGAACATGGTGGCTCATACCTGTAATCCCAGCATTTTCGGTGGCAGAGGTTGGAGAATCGCTTGAGCCAAGGAGTTTGAGACCGGCCTGGGCAACATGGCGAGATACCATCTCTACAAAAAATGAAAAATATTAGCTGGGTGTGGTGGTGTACACTTGTGATCCCAGCCATTTGGAAGGCCGAGTTGGGAGGATTGCTTGAGCCCAGAAGGTTGAGGCTGCAGTGAGCCATGTTCATGCCACTGCAGTCCATCCTGGGTGACAGAGCAAGATGTTGTCTCAACAAAAAAAACCCCAAAACATTATGCTAAATAAAAATAGCCAGACCCAGAAGACTACATATTGTATGATTTCTTTTATATAAAATGTCCAGAAAAGGCAAGTTTACAGAGACAAAAAGTCGAGTAGTGGTTGCCTGGGACAGTTATCTAAAATTGGATTGCTGTGGTAATTTTACAACTCTGTACATCTACTAAAAACTATTTACTGTACACTTAAAACAGGTGATTTTTATGTTATATAAATTGTATCTCAGTAAAGCTGTTGGGGAACAAAAATGAAGTAGGAAGGGAGATAGAAGAGATTAATGTAAGTGATATGTAGCTGCAGGGATGGAGAGCACTGTGAAGTGAAGGAAGAGTAAAAACTGGCTGTGATATTGCTGGTTGAGTGACTTAGTAGATGCTAATACTCCCAATCTAGATAGGGAATATATAGGAATGAACTGTTTTGTTTTGTAGGGAAAGATAAACCAGTTATCTTTAATTTGATCTATCTTTAGGAAATTCAGTTGGAGATATTAACTAAGGAGTTGTATATATAGATCAGAAGTTGTATATATGGATCAGAGATGTTTGGGCTAAAGATACAGATTTGAGAATTATTGTATAATAGTAATCAAACCTGAACACGATACTTTGTTGGGGAACGTGTAGATTAGAGTAAGAAGAAAAGTGGTTACAGAGAGAACCTGAAGAAAAACCAACTTAAGGACCACATAGAAGAAATAAATCTCTAGTGAAGAAAATTAAGATAGAATGATTAGTCTTAGGATTATAATGCAGGTCAACCAAACTGACTGCTGTGTGGTGCGACAGGAAGCAAATAGCATTTTGAAACAGTTCGTGGGAATGGGGTTTAGTGGCCCAGTAGACTGTTGTACATTCTAAGATGGCAGAGATCATGTTTTTGGATAATGTATAATCTTATTGTTCCACAGTCATAATAATGTAAAATGTGCCCCTTTGTGAATTAAAATGAATAAAAATAGGGCCCCTTTGGACATTAAGGGTAAACATGGCCTGCCAGATTGTTTGATTTTTATGATTTTGTATCTAAGTTTCTTACCCATCTTAAAACAAAAGACACTGCTTTCATTGGAATTGCAAACTGCCCAAGTATAACTAATGACTTTAAAACTCAGTTTTGTATTTGAGATTTTTTAAAAACCTTTTGGTTTATGTAGCTGGGAATATTTAAAGAGGTATTGCTTATCTTCTGCTTGCAGGCTTATCAATAACATCAGAACAAATAAATCCTCATAGTACTGGAGCTCGGAAGACAGAAACTAGAGTTGAAGAGGCATTTCGGCACAAACAAAGAAATCCAATGGATGTCTGGCACAACTCTGCAAATAAATGTGCATGTGAGTATTTGAGCTCATGTTATCCAGTAGTGAGAACAACTGAGAATGATGTAGATATGTTAGGAATTTGGTACAAACCAAAGTGCTGCTGTTTTCCCACAGCTCTTTTAATCTCTTTTCAGAGGTGAAGAAGAGCTTGTGGGGTAAATGCTGAATCAGAAATATATTTCTTTAACTCTATTTGATGTTTTCTATCCCTATTCAATATTATTTGCTATGACAGTTGGACTAGGCTTGAATATTTTCAGTTTTAAACTTTAGTTTTCGGATAGCTATGTGGAGCCAGTAGAATTTTTATCCGCCCCTGTCCTTATCCTCCACTCCTCCTTTTTTTTTGAGATGGAGTCTGGCTCTGTCGCCCAGGCTGGAGTGCAGTGGCGCGATCTCGGCTCACTGCAAGCTCCGCCGCCTCCTGGGTTCACGCCATTCTCCTGCCTCAGCCTCCCTAGAAGCTGGGACTACAGGCGCCTGCCACCACGCCCGGTTATTTTTTTGTATTTTTAGTAGAGACGGGGTTTCACCGTGTTAGCCAGGATGGTCTTGATCTCCTGACCTCGTGATCTGCCCGCCTCGGCCTCCCAAAGTGCTGGGATTACAGGCGTGAGCCACCGCGCCTGGCCCCTCCACTCCTTCTTGTACACAATGCAGGATGTTCTCCTTAGGGTGGGAAATGGACACTCCTGCGTGTGGGTGTGTCTTATCTGGCAGCAGGAAATTGATTTTTCTGAGAGACTACTTTGTGTTCAGTGTGAAAAATTGGCACAGCCTTCTTTGTAGTTTTTGTGAGATGTATTTAACGGGAAAATTGGGAGATTTTTTGTACTCATTCAGCGTCTTTCTAATAGCGTCCTTCTGTTTCACTGAAGATAGCCTTCCTTGGAAGATACATGCTGTTATTCTGGTATAAAGGTGATAATCCAGGTTAAGTTCCCTTATCCAAAATGCTTGGGACCCACAAGTGTTTTGGATTTTGTATTTTTTTTGGATTTTGGAATATTTGCATTGTACTTAACCGGTTCAGCATCCCTAATCCAAAAATCAGATATCTGAAATGCTCTAATGAGCAATTACTTTGAACGACATGTCAGTGCTCAAAAAGTGTTGGATTTTGGATGCACAACCTGTACTATGTCAGTAAAGCTAGCTATAATATGTGGCATTGAATTTGAATGAATAAACTATACCCGTCTTTTTAAAGCTTGTCCCCTTTTGGTAAGTGGCATTTGTATGTGAGAAAGTTTGAGAAAGGACTTAACGATGCCATGAAACTGATTAAGCCTGTTTGGCCTAGTTGTATTTCAGATCATGACTTGGATTGTGTAGCATAGTACTTACTCTCTTTAAACTTTGAAATTCTTTCCATTCTATGCATCTGCTACAAATATTGATGAATGAAAATGCATTGAATATTCACTTGAAGAAGTTTTAAGTGCCTTTAAATATTTTAAAAACTGTTTGAATCTACAAATATGAGTTTTGTTTTCTCTTACCAGTAGATGGCATATGTGACCCATCATTTTTCTGTTTTACATTAACTTAAATAATAAATCTGAATGTCCCTAAGGCCTTGGTTTTGGAAACAAACTCAGTGATGCTATAAAAATTGACTCTAAAGATCGTGTCTCTAAATGGACTTTTCACACAGAGCACCCTGATGAAGGAAGTGGGTGTGGATGTGTGTGTATGTGTGTGTATGTGTGTGTGTGTGTGTGTTTATGTATATATATATATAATTATTTGTTTTTTCTTGAGACAGAGTCTCTCTCTGTTGCCCTGGCTGGAGTGCAGTGGCACAGTCTTACCTCACTGCAACCTCCGCCTCCTTGGGTTCAAGCAATTCTCCCACCTCAGCTTCCCAAGTGACTGGGACTACAGGCACCCATCACCACGCCTGGCTTATTTTTTGTATTTTTAGTAGAGATGGGGTTTCACCATGTTGGTCAGGCAGGTCTCAAACTCCTGACTTCAAGTGATCCGCCTGCCTTGGCCTCCCAAAGCTCTGGGAATACAGGCGTGAGCCACCGTGCCTAGCTGGAAATGATATATTAAGCATTAGGTCCACAAATACTCGTATATACTCTTGCCACATGCCAGGTACTGTGAAGATACATCAGTGACTAAAACAAAAATCTCTTCTTGTGGAGCTAATGTGATCTGTTTCTCTTATTTTGCCAAAATTATACCAACCATTAGAAATAATTATGTAAGGAAGAGAAAAATACCTCTAGTCCTACTTCCCAAAGATTAAGAACATTTTCTTTTACATATTAGCCAGGATGAAAGCATCCTGGAGTAACTTGCTTCAGTGGGGCTCCCAGCCTTTGCTTATGTACTTGCATGTCAGGTAGTTGAGGTGACTCTTGATTGAGCAGAGTTCAGCTTCATTTTGCTCTAGTTTCATGGCTTAGGAAAGAAAAAGGGGACCTATTGTACTTTCAGTTACATGGTTGGAGAATAAGAGAGGTTACAGTGTCAGGAATGGCCTATCGGGTGGTAAAAACCTAATACTCTAACTTTCAGAGTCAGAGCAAGCTGAATGCTTTTTATTTTTTATATGGACTAGATTAGTTTTTCTTCTAGCTAATGGGATGTTTACAAATGCCTATCACCTGAGCCTGTGTACCGGATTTTAACAGTAGATTAATACAGAAATTTTCTTCTCTATGATAATTACCCTGTAACTTTAAATTATATAAATAGAAATAAATAGGGGAAAAGAATGAAGAGTTAGTGCTAACAGGATTACAGTTTTGAAGGAAAAATACATGTTGAGCCAAATGACTAAATAAGAGAAACCTTTAGAAGATACATTCTTAGGTAAGAAAGGAGTAATATTTATAAATAAATTTATCCATTTCTTGTGAATTTACAAAGATGCAGCAGGGATTAAAGATGAAAGGATAAAAGAAGTATGTAAATACGCTATACACTGTTGATAGATTCTAAATTCATATTAAGCAGTGTGAATATAAGAAACAAGGGTTGTCATTAAAAGACTATATTCCTTTCTGTCTCTATAAAGCAATTTTTAAATTACAGATTAAACAGCCTACAGTTAATGATTTCATATTTATATTTTCTTTAAAAAATATCTTTGCCCAGGAAGCTTTTCAGCTTTGATGTATTAAACATATATAGTCTTTTTTTAAAGTTAAAATTATTACGTTCATAACCACAGAAAAAATGAATATTTTTATTCTCTGATACTTTCAACAAACTAGTATTTAGAATTTGGGGTGCGATACCAGAAATGATTCAGCTCTAGCTTAAGTGGTTTGCTTTAATAATTTTTATATTTAAGTGTTCTGAAGAACACTTAACTGTATATGCAAGTGTCCCAAATTATAAAATAAAAGTTAACTTTTGTTTATTTAAGGGACAGTGAGCTAGACTTGCTTAACCATCTACCTCAATTTGATACATATGTGAGAAATTAAAAATTCCAGGGTCCATTAACACGTGGAGGCCCCAGCTGCCTACTCATAAAGCTCAGGATAGTTTCGAGCATCTAAGCGTATAGTCCTTACAACTTTTGTAGGCCTCCGTTTTCACATAAGTGACCAAGTATTTATTTTCAATGTTTTGTTTATGTTGTTCTTGTTGCCTTGATAGCAGAGGGCTTAGTTTTCCTACATATTCTCAAATAACTTTGCAAGAAATTGATGCCACTGGGTGAACTGTTTGTGCTAGAAGAGATTAACAGTTGGTTCACCAAATTGTCCAAATAACCTTCATAAGGCATCTGTCCATGGTCATACTTAACTTTGAGTGATTCCTTTTTCTGAAAGGAGAGGTTTCTTTGTGAGGATACCTTTAACTGTTCTCTTATGCTGTATTGAATCATGTCTTTATTTTCTTTCATGATTTAGGAGCTACCTTTTGCTAGCAAAAACATCCACCTTCCTGGTGGAAATCCAGGGCTTTGACCCCATACTTTCTGGCAGCCTGGTAATGTGGTCATTCTTTAAATGTGTATATTACATGTATGGCTTCTGGATGTTGAAAGTTAGGAACAATTGTAAAGTAGGATCTAGGATAGTAGAATAGATTAGTGCTGAATAAACTCATAACAGGAAATACATTCAAAAATGTTTTATTCTGTAGAGTTCATCCCTGACTTCATATCCATTCCATTTGTAGGTTGCAAGGATTAGTCAGCATGAATGTTAAGAGCTAAGTAGTTTTTGTTTGTAAGTTCATCAGCATGGGTTTACTTTCTTTTGGGTCCTGTTTAATAAACGTATGTAAAATTGGTATTGCATTCCAAGTTCTACATATCTTTTTTCCTTCCTTGTAAAACAGTTCGGGTTCGGAGAAAATCAAGGCGGCGATCACAGTGGGGTAAAGGAATTATTAAGAAAAGGAAAGTTAATAATTTAAAAAAAGATGAAGAAGACACCAAATTTGCAGACTATGAGAACCATACGGAGGACAGGAAATTATTAGAGAATGGAGAGTTTGAGGTAAGCACTGACTGCCATGAGGAAAATGGAGAAGAGACTGGAGACTTATCTATGACCAATGACGAATCATCCTGTGACATCATGGACATGGACCAGGGGCAGAGGCTTAACAATGGAGCAGGCACAAAAGAGAACTTTGCCTCTACTGAGGAGGAAAGTTCAAATGAATCTCTACTCGTCAACAGCAGCAGTTCCTTAAACCCGGAGCAGACCTCCAGGAAAGAGACTTTCCTTAAAGGAAATTGTCTAAATGGTGAGGCTTCCACTGACAGTTTTGAAGGAATACCAGTTCTGGAATGTCAGAATGGCAAGCTTGAAGTAGTTTCTTTCTGTGATAGTGGAGATAAATGTAGTTCTGAACAAAAGATTCTTCTGGAGGACCAGTCAAAGGAAAAACCAGAAACTTCGATTGAAAATCATGGAGATGATCCTGAGAAACTAGAGGCACTGGAATGTAGCAATAATGAGAAGTTAGAACCTGGCCCTGATGTGGAGGTTAAAGATGCAGAACTGGATAAAGAAGGTAGAGCTAATATTTGAAAAATCTTCTGAAGGTTTAAACTCCAGAGTTAATTCATTGCGTATTTTATCTAGTTCCCAGTAGTAATAGTTGATGAATAATTATACCCCTCTGAGAATCTGTTAAAGTTTTCATCCTGTTCTCTAGAAAAGCGCGCGGGTGCACACACACACACACACACACACACACACACATACAGGCATGCACCAAATTTCACTGTAAGTTTCAGAGGGTTTATCGTTTCGAATGCATTGCTTTACTGGCCACTTACTCTTCTGCCTCCTGCCTGATTATCACCCCTAGCCTCAGGGATTTATGACTGAAAGCTACGTAAATCCACAGGTGTTAAGAAGATGGAATTCCAAGAAGAATTATTGGTGTGGGCTGGGTGTGGGCAGAGAAGACTTGGTCATAATAGCAGTATGATATATTCGGAGGAGTAATATAGACCTAGATTAAATTACCACTCTTGTTCATTATAATCATGTGACTTTGAGCTCATTATTTACACCTCCAAGCCTATTTATTCAACTTTAGAATGGTGGTGTTGCAGGGATTAAATAAATCGTGTATTTTAATTGCCTCTCGTGGTAACTGGCACATACTAAGGTATATTCATTCCAGGCAGTCATTGTTAGTTGAATCCAAGGGCCGTTCAGTCTAAAAGCCTTCATTGCTTTATAAGTCCAGTAGTGGAGTAAAGAAGCAGAGCACCATTGTCAAGTTTACCTTGTTCTCAGGGAATCAGAGTGCTCTCCCAGCTTCTGACTTCTTATGGCTACATGATTCATTTAAGAAGCAGCAGAAAGAGGGAGTTAAGGTTTTCTAGCCTGTATTTGTTTATCATTATTCTTTAGCCCATAGCAGGGTCTGGGGTGAGTTGCTATCTAACCTGCTCAATATACATTTCCTTCCTGGATAGGTACTATTATAGGAGGCTATCTTGAAATTGTATTATTTTCTCTAAATTGTGTGGAGTGAAGTGCACAGCTACAGCCTGGGATTTGGGCTATGCGGGAAAGGTTTTTTTGTTTTTGTTTTTGTTTTTGTTTTTGTTTTTGTTTTTTTTTCCTGCCAGTATTTTAAGTCCTTTCGCAGAGTTAGAAAGCAGGAAAATATTCAAAGTCTAAGAATTCCTTTAATGGATAAAGAGAAATTTACTGTTCTTAAATGCCACCTGTTAAACATTTATCTTATTCTTCAATATTTAATACTAAAATAGTTTTCAGAGTGGTATTCATTCTGGGCTATCAGATAGACAGAACTTTAAAAATATGTTAAAGCTAGGGTTAAGTAATGAATATAACAGCATGGGAAAAGTAGAGAAGGAATCTGGTATGAGACCAAATGGGTGAGGATAGAGGAGTCTTTTTTAATGCTGATTTCTATGAGATTTCCATAAGCGTGCTGAAAAAGGCTTGAATTAACATTGTGTTCAGTTGGTGATCTAAAAACTGTAAAGATAATTGTGTAAAAGTTTGACCTGAAACTTTCATTTGGAATTATCAGGACAGTATCCTAATCTGAGTTTTCAGGCCTCTAGAAGTCCATGGATGTAGTAATGAGGATCAATATGATTTTAACAAAACTCCTAGCATATGGTAATTGAACTATGAAGTCTTTCACATTAAAGGCAGCCTGAAATATAAAATTTCTCTGATATATCATGATACATGTTTTTGAAGGTAATACTTTGGTTCTTTTGCTGTTTGTTTTATAAAGCAGGCATTGAGAAGGAGGAGGAGTTTAAAGACTTGGGTGTAAGAAATAAGAGGACTAATGTAGGATGGAGGCAGGTCCCTGCATTGGGACACTTAATAAATACGTTCTCCTTAGTGTCCCTGACATGGGCCGCATCCTGTATGAAATTCTGAAACAGTCCAAGTTTGTCTTTGTGTTCCTTCCCCTCCCTCACCCTCTTCTTAAGAGTAATCCTACTTAGGGGAGCACGGGGCTCCATGGTCTACCCCTCAGAGTGCCTTGGTCCATGAAATTATGCTTAGCCACCTTAAAATTTCTGTTTGTTTAGTGTGGCTGGTCTCAGCAAAATGTTAGAAGGAAAGTGATTAGATTATACTGATTTACTCTAAGGTAGGAAAGAACACCAGCCCTTTTACACTTTTAATGGGTTTATATTTTTAAGAAAAAAATGGTAAACTTTGGATCAATTTCTAATAGAATTTTAGGCAGTGTAACATATAAGAAATTTCAGGCAGTGTTTTAGGTTGGGAGGCAAATATGTAGACAGGTGGGCCCCACTTTTGTTAGTATCTGCTTTTCTAGGTTGCTTCCCTTCTTCTGGTTCTGAAAGCTCCCAATTGTAAAATGATAGCTGTCGTAGAGTGAAGGCTGTTTGTAAGTCAGTGCTTAGAGGTGAAGATTGCTTTTATCTTCCTTTTAATGGATATGCTTATTAAGTGGTATTCGAGTATGACTTGACTTTTTAAGTTGTAGCTTAGTTTTCTTTAATTTGGGTTACTTAGTCTTACCAATAAAAAAAAAATCTACCAAATTGGGTTGCTTTAAAAAACATCACTTAAGAATACACCCTTCCTCATTCCAAAAGGGATTTGTGGTAGGTAAAAGAATTTATAGCTGCTTAAGACTGATTTTTCTTAACTTTTACTTGCTGCAGTGTATTTTTTGTCTCAATTGTAGGTGCTTCTAAAGTAAAGAAATACCGTAAATTAATTTTAGAGCAGGCAAAAACGACAAGTCTGGAACTGGTTCCAGAAGAGCCATCTGAGCCTGTGCCTCCTCTTATAGTTGATCGTGAGAGATTGAAGGTAAGCTTAGCTATTCCCAGTCAGTTTTAAATGAATGGACGGAGATTTGAATGTATTTGTAGGCAATTAAATAAAACTAGTTTTCCTGCTTTAACCCTGAAATATAAATGCCTCAGAGCTTCTAGTAAAAAAGAGTTACGTGTATTTTAAGGAGTTGAAAGATACGGGAATAGTCCAAGATGTTCTAAGGGAATAATTTTAAGCCCTCGAATCTTTTAATTTCATGTTCACTGTTACATCCTAGCTTTATGGTGTTTATTGACTGGCCATTTGAATATACAATTTCAGTTTGACCAGTGAAATCAAATTACATTTTATTCTCTTCTATTTTTTTCTTAGAAATTGCTTGATTTGTTGGTGGATAAAAGCAACAATCTGGCAGTTGATCAGCTTGAGAGACTATATTCTCTTCTTAGTCAGTGCATCTACCGTCATCGTAAAGATTATGACAAATCACAACTTGTAGAGGTAAGTGTTCAGTTTATCTGTAGAATAAACAAATATTTGCTTTTACTTGTTCCAAAGAAAAGAGAAAAAAAGTTATTTTGCCTACATCTATGTCTTTCACCAAGTAACTGAAAAATGTTTTGAAGATTTAAGAGAAGAATCTTTAAGAGTTACAGTTTGAAGAATAAAGCCTTTCTGTACCATTTTGTCTCTGGAAAGAAGTAATCTGGGGTTCCTTTTTTTTTTTTTTGTCAAAACACAGACATCCATGGTTCTGGGTTGGTAAATATGGAGAAGTAGTATGTCACAGTTCTTTCCCTACTTGCTTATAACTGACATGCCAACTGAGCCTATCACTTGGGCTTGTTGGATGTGGTCATGGCCACACACTCCTTATCACTGCTTTCTAGGTAGCCACTGCCGATGTAAAGGCATTGGCATGGGCAGTGAGACCTATTTGCCATTAATGGTTGGAAGATAACTCAAAAGTCATCTTATTTTAGTTAAATCTAGTCCTGTAAATTAGCCATATGAAGAAGTGACTGTCCTTTTGCTTAGATACTTTTAGAGATGAGGCATTCCCTTTCTAGACAACTCTGAACCAAGGGAACTTCTTCCCATATAAGTATGAGCTTATATCTTTGTTTATGTAAGTTCCATCATTAAACCACACTTCTGCCTTTTCAGGTCATCTGAGCAAATGTAATCACTCATCTACTCACAAAATGGCTAAATGACTTAATTCAGCTCTCTTTGTTGATTTTCCTGTTTGTTTGTTTATCTGGGGGGTCTATCTATTAAATGTTTATCGAGTACCTGCAGTGCCAGATGCTGTGCTGGGTGTTTCGAATGCAAAAAATGAGTAAGACAAAGTCTCTGCTCTCAAAGAATAGTTTTAGTATATTAAAGATGTATATGTAAAGGATATAGTTATTTCTCATGTGTAATTTTCTTTTCTTATTTGGCAGTATATGATAAAACATTTAGCAGGAGTGATTTTTGTTGACCACATGGAAGAACTTGTTGATCAGATGATGATCTGTTAATACAGCCTATTAGTTCTTCAGAGATGTAGAACAGAATTTCTTTGGAGCTGTTTAAAGGGAAGGAAAAAGTGCAAGTGTCTTAGATGTATTTGACATTTGCCCACCTGAGTAAAATGTGCGGGGTAGAGTTCTTCACAATTTTTTAAAATTCTAGAACTTCTTTGTTCATATGGTTGCAGTTTTATTAGCTTGAATGCATTAAATACTCGTCACCAGTGAAACATCTCAGTGTGGAACCCTAATAATCTAGAGGCCTAGTTTAGGGAGGGAAGGGATTGATAACAGAATCAGCAGTGAGTGGCTTTCATGGTGGTGGTGATGGAAGCCACTCATTCTGGCTTTTTTTTTAACCCTGTCTTTTCAGCTCTGGTTGGAGTGAATGGAAGTGGGAACACAGTGCATTCTGCTTTTTGCCATAAGTTTCGCTATACTGAATGCGTTCATTTTGCTTTGGGAGTTAGTGAAATATAATGAGGAAGGAAGGGCTCAGTCTCTGGAGTGAGGCTGCCTGTATTCAAATCCTGACTGCCACCTGTTAGCTGTCAAATTATTTATCCCCTCTGTGCCTCTGTTTCTTTGTCTGTAAAATGGGCCTCATAGTAATACCCATGTTCAACCTTCAATGTTAGGGGAGTTAAAACTATATATATAAATTATATATATATATGCATACATATAAATACAAATATTTACTTATATTTATGTATTTTATATATAGAAATTTCTTAGTAAGTATCTGGTGTAATAAGTTACTCACTGAGTGTTGCTATCATCATCCTTATATTCATATTATTCATATCCTACCTCATACTGATACTGCTGGCATAATAAGTTAGTTATTTGTTGAGTGTGACCATCATCATCATCCTTATTGGCCTAAATGTAAAATAGGAGGTACTTGGAAGTGTCTAGGGGAGATAGTCTTAATTAGCTATGGTATTGTAATCAGGGAAATATTCAAAGTTTAACCTGTATCTCAAATTCATTCCCTAAAAATTTAAAGTGAATTCTTCCATAATGAGGAACACTTCTGTCTTTCCCTTAATAGATAACATGCATTTTTTTTCCTTTTATAGGAGATGGAAAGAACAGTTCATATGTTTGAGACATTCCTATGAACTTTTCAAGATGAGTGGTTTATCCTCTCCAATCTGCTCCTGACAGAGCAGTCTTCTGAGCCATTCAATTTCAAATTGCACCAATTACGTGCAGAGCCTTGGTGTAAAGTGCTCTCTCACTCATTCTTTTTCTCTGTTGAATTTGGTGCTATTGTCTCAGGTACCTGAAACCAACCAGCCTACAAGAACCAAACAGAACTTCAGAAACATGTTGTATTTTCCACAAATAAAAAATACAACCCCACAGCTTGGAGATTTTGGTGCTACAGAAACTGCTCTCGCTTCTGCTCCTCTTTTTGTGCACTCTCTTTTGGAGACTCCTCTCTTAGGGAGCAGACCAGCAAACAGGAGGAAACTGGATGGGGCAGTTCTAACTGTGTTGAATTGTTTAAACAGTGGGCAACTTTTTTTTTCCCCTCCATTTTATCCCTTTAATCATATTTTTCCCCCATCTGGGTAATGGACTGAAACCTGTTTTAGAGTTGGCTATGGTCTATTCTGGTGGGAAGCTGAAGAAACTGGATGAAATTAGGTCAGGCTCTTTAGAACTGCCTTTAACGTGCCTTTTTATTCATTTGAGGAAGATAAGGCTAAAAGGATGGGCTGTTTGAAGCAAATAAATTAGAAATCTTTCTTTGGTCACCACCTTGAAAATAAGTTTTGATACTGTATGTCATTAAGAGACAACCAGTGTTTAGGTATGAAATGCCTGTCTTATTCTCAAAGCTCAATCAAGACACCCAGTAAGCCACATAATATACTAAAATGGTAAGTTTTCTTGTAAGATCTGTTTTGGTTTAAGAAACATGTAATAACAACAATGAATAATACACAGGCCACACACAAAAAAACAAAAAACAAAACTCCACACATTTTGGTATTGCTGACAATGATGAGTAGAAAATAAATAGATAGTGGCCATTCTTTCTTCTGTCAGTGGCAATTTAATAGTTACTCATGTTTGAGTTCCCAGAGAAAAATGGTTTTCATATGTAGTAAATTGATATTTTTGTTTTAAAGCCAGGACTTGCCAAATGGACAGAAAAGAGAGGAATTCGTCAGAAGCTCCATAAAATTCATTTTCTGTATGCTTAATTGCAAGTGAGCTCTGGTATGGTCCTTGAATAACAGTATTAATGGTTAAATCCCATCTCCTAAGCTTACCTTCACAACTCTTCATTTTGATTGGAAACGATTTTGAATCTTGTTGAGTGATTTCTGTGAATTGTACGTATCCGAAATTAATTATGGGTTACTAGTTTTACAAAAAACTTTCTACAGATTTGGAGACACAGTCTAGGCAGTTGCAAAGAGGCAAAGGGTGCAGTGACTTTTTTTATCAGATGATTTTTAAACAAAAAGATAGAAAATTTTGCCGACAAGTTGGCTTGATAGCTTCATTCATTGTAGCCGTTAGCTGCAGGTGTGTCTTTCCAATATATGCAACACATGTAGTTTGGGTTTTAATTAGGGCAAATGGTCTTGGACTACTGCAGAGATTCTGAGCTACCTCAGCTTTTTGTATTTTAGTTACCAACAGTGTTTACAGAGTCCTGTAATCACTTTGCCACCGTTTACATCCTGAAGCTAAGGTACTTGTCTCCTTGTCTCTGGCTCTTTGTAGTGTGCAGAAAGCATACTTTGGCCGTAGCCTACTGCAGTAATCCAAAGTGCTTCTTTGCATTTACATTTACATCTAATGCCTTCTAATTCTAGCTTAATTTTTTTTTAAATGCCACGTGTTTTCTTTGTACCTAGTCTGTGAAGTTTCTGTAATATCCAGTTAGTCATGTAAGTCAAGATGCTACCCATGTAGACACACTGTATTTTTAAGGTGGGCAAGTGCGATTAACGATGAACAATTTTAAAGGGGAGGTTATTTGAAACCTCTAATTTGATTATTGGGAGGATTTTCATGCTTTCTTTAGTATTTATTACCATCATACCGATTCAGACTATTTTATTGTCTAATACATTAGCATTTTGTATTTTGATGGAAATTGTTACAGAATTTAAAGATTTGATGAAATAAGATGTAGCAGATTTTTTGTAGCAAGTTTCTGGTAAAAGGGTTTTTTGCAAGTCTCAGGTTCTTGCTGCACTATTTTTTTTTAAATATTTATTCCAGTTATTCTAATTCAGAAGCATTCTTTTCAAGTAACAGCAGCACTTGTGAAAGGAAAAAAAACGCACACGTTTCTTATTAGGTTACTAAATTTGTACAATTAATTAAGATTTTAGCCATCAGTGAGTTTGACAAGGGAAATGTATTTATTTTCAGCATTAAAATGCTTCCAAAAGATCAAGTTGCTTTTGTTTGTTTTTTTAACTGTAATGTAGTTGGAGAAATCGGAGGCAACCTCAGTATAGGAACTGCCACTTTGAACAGTTTAGTTCTTAAAGAAAAAGTCAGTCTAATGCCAAGGGGAGAACAATAAGCTGAAATTGTACCAACTCCTCTGGCCCTCTTTCCCTCAATCAAAAAAACACACTTACCAGTTTTGCTTATTTTACAGATATCTGGTGGTTCTATAGTTTAAAGCAGCTTGTGAAATTATCTAAGTGGACTCAATTTTGTTTACCTTTCTGTAAGTTCTTCATTTTTGCTGTATAGCATTGGCAAAAATATGTACAAATTGACCTCTGTTCTTATTTCCTATTGTGAGCATTATAAATGATAAGCTCCTATGTAAAACCTTGCTCTCAGATGAGTAAAATATGTATCACAGCATAGCTCAGCAATAGTTCATGCTCAGCTGTGGGGACCCTGGGAGCTTTTTGAAGATGATGGAACCGCACTAGGGTTGAAACTGATGGCTGTGGAGTTAATTGTGTTTTTGAGCTTGAATCTCACCTGTGATTTTTTTTTTTTAATGTTGTTTCATGACTTGATTTTTCTCATAAGCCAATGTACTTGTAGGTTTACTGGATTTTATTTTTAGGGAGTGGGTAATTTCTTCCCATTTTTGATTAAGTTGGTTCAGCTATGGTGCTATTCAGTAGGTATCTTCAGTGTCAGGTCCCGTAGCTGAATGCCATTGTTATTATAATTATTATTTGTAATCACATTGTAAGCTTGAATTTGGGCTTGTACCTGCATCTTTTGTATTCTGTACATCTGGTTACTTAGACTTTGGGAGTCCCATTTGGTTTCAGTCATGTATGTCTACTTTGTAGTTTAAGTAGACTTCATCAACTATGGTCTATTTTGGGTTTGTAGTTTTAATTTAGAATTGTGTTAAATTGATGTTTTGCATTTGACTTCATTTTACGTTAGTTGAAGTAAATTATTTAATTTTTGAATTCTGGAATTTGAACATTTACTGTAATTTGTAATATAACTGCTGTGAAATACTTGAATAAAGATGACAAGAAAAACATGTCTTTCTTTAGCTTAATTATGATCACTGTTGGCTACAAATGCAGTGCTACTTTTCTAGCCGATTTAGACTGTTTTACAGAGAGGCATATTGCTGTTTATTAAGCACCCACAAAGTCGTGTTATATGTTCCTTTTAGATTTTAAGTACCCCTCACGATTTTTTAGCTGAAAGCTTTTTATGTTGAGAAAGTATGGTTTTACTTTTAGTTGAAGATTGTCTAAAATACATTGTGTAGAAGCAAATGGATTACTTCTGAGATTTGTTTTTCTAACTGGAAGACTATACGATAACATATGATCAGGTTATATGGTTCATTTAGTTTAAAATGTTTTCCTTTTTATCGGGTTGTTATCAGCATACTTTGTACAGTATAGCACATAATATGGACAGAGATTTCATACCAGAGTTTTGAAGGGCTTACTTCAAGTGAATAGAATGTTCTTGGCTTCAGAATACCTATTTTTCCTGTGTGCCTTGAGATACCTTTTCATGTTCCTGTAGTACACTGATCTTCGTCAATATAAATCCTTACTTTTGTTTTTTGAATCACAGTAAAAAAGATGGATTTTAGTTAAGACCTTGTTTTGCTTGATTTTTCAGATTCTGTAATTTCAACTTTTATCTGTATCAAAAGATTGGTAATAATAAACCTGCAAAACATATTTTTAACACTGAATGTTTAGATAAAGAGCTTATAATTTGAGGTTCAATCAAGTTTTTTGGACTTTGGAGATGAAGTTAAGTTTTATTTATCCAGTTTTAGTTTCCATAAGACTCAAAACTACAGTAAAATCGGAGGCAAATCTTTAAATCTATTTCATGTTATCCCTGTACCCTGACACCTACAAAGTTATCTAGTGACTATTTAAAAATATATACATTCCCTCTTTTACCCCCACATTCATATGTTTGTTATGTGCCTAGCATTATGCCAGGCATGTGGGATATACAAATAATGTATTCCTGTCCTCAGGTAGCTTAGAGTCTGCCAGGGAGTTGGTGTATATACCAATAGTAATGATTCCACAGAATAAGTGCTTTAACAGAAGGGACATAATGTTCAGCGTTCTGAGAAGGGAACCAATTAATTATGTTTAGGAATGGGGAAAATAAGGAAAGACTTCAGAGAAAGTTGGTATTATATTTGCTCTTCATCTCTCTCTGGTTCTTCTAGAGTCTGTCCCCACTTCACCAAAATTTGTTCTTGTTTTTTTATGTGTGTGACCTTTCATATTACATCAGATGTATTATTATGGAATCTAAACCTTGCCCATATTTCAGGGCTATATAGTATTATATATATAATATACATATATATGTGTGTGATATATATATTACACATATATATGTATATATATGGCATATGCTGATCTTCAGAAATTAGCTATGTTTTGTACTGCATTACATAGTAAGTTACTATGTAAATATAATATATAAAACTTAGTAGTTTATTCATGAGGGAAGGGGAGATAGAAAAGTATTATATTTCTTCTGTATTCCCTATAGGAATTTGAAGCAGTGCAGGGTTCAGTAGATACTTATTTAATTCCTTTTGATTTGCATGACATAGAAGGCTCAAAGTTACCTTAATCATTTTTCATTCATTTATAAAATACATAGTGAGTGCCTACCATGTACCAGGCACTGTTGCAGGTGCTAGAAATAAAGCAGCAAACTAAACAGAAAAAGTCCTTGTCTTCATGGAGCTTAAATTCTTTCTGATGTTGTGTGCCAGGTTTCTGTCATGGTTGATCAGAGTTCACATTATTTTTTAAAAGTGTGGTGCTGTTAAACACTCTTAAAGCACTTTTAAATTTCATTAAGCAGTGAATGAAGCACTTTGTTATTAAAAACTTGCCAGGAACTCTGCTTTTTCCTTCTTGCTTCCCTTATATTCCCTATCTTGGTGAGAAACCTAGCTGTCAACCTGAACTTTATCTTCTTTATGACCCATCTCATTCTAATCATGCAGTACATTTTGTTGATTTATTTTCCCCCTCAGCATGTCTCATACCTATCACCCTTTCTCCATTGCTGTTATCTTAGTTTGGGCACTAATCCTTTTGTCTGGACTAGTGTAATAGCTGTCAGTTCAGTAAACATTTAAGCATTTATTCAGTGCCTACAGAGTGCTAGGCATTGAGGGAGCATAAAGATGAGCAAGACATTGTGTCTGTCTTCAAGGAGATTTTTATAATGTAATTTAACATACTTATATCATGTTTACTAGGTGCTGGAGACTATTCTGAGTGCTGTACAGACACAAATGCAAATTCTTTTAATCCTTACAAGAACCTTATGAGATAGGTGCTATTATTATCCCCATTTTATAGACCAGGAAACTGAGTTATAGATTAATTTGCTCAAGGTCACACATCCAGGATTCAAATGTAAGCAGTTTGGCTCCAGAGTTGATGCTTTTAATCACTATGCTTGACTGCTTCTTGTGGGGGTAGACAGATACACAAACATAATTTCAGTCTAATACGGCATGTGTTAAGATTGAATTTTGTGTTAGGCACTGTAGGTATACAAAGCAGGAGGATGTAGCCTAACCTCAAGGAAGCCTTTCTGGTTCCTTGCCTGAGCTGAGGCATCAGGATGGGAAAGGACTTCCAGGCAGAAGGAACAACAGAAGCATAGGCTGAGAAGTGAAATAGCATGACAGCTGCAGGGGAAAGTACAGGCAGTTCTCTGTCATCACAGGTCAACATCTGTTTCACAAATTTATTTGAGCAACTGCCATTTGCCAAAGCACCATTCTTGGCAAGGGAGTTACAGCTGAGGACAGGACAGCAAGGTCCTTGCTTTTTGGAGCTTACAATCTAGTCATCAAAGAGTAAACAAGCAACATGTTACCTAACAGTGGTAAATGCTTGGATGACAATAAATACAGCAGTAGTATTAGTAGCAGCAGACAACTGAGTGCCAGGTATTATTACAAGCATTAACCATTTAATTATCACAGCAACTGTGGGAGGTAGGTACTGTTGTTGGTCCCGTTTAACAGAAGGGGAAACTGAAATAGAGAATGCTTAGGCAACTTGCCCAAGGTTACACAGCTAACATCAGGTTGGGGGGTCTTATCTTGTGGTGTGGCTTTAGAGCTTGAATTCTTAACCCATCAATCATTAAGGTGAATGATAAATTCCTTTGCCCTTATTCAGGTTTTCTTTGTTTTTATTTTTTTTCTTGAGATGGAGTCTGGCTCTGTTGCCCAGACTGAAGTGCAGTGGCATGATCTCGGCTCACTGCAACCTCTGCCTCCCAGGTTCCAGCGATTCTCCTGCCTCAGCCTCCTGGGTAGCTAGGATTAGAGGCACGTGCCGCCACCCCTGGCTAATTTTCATACTTTTTGTAGGAACTGGGTTTCACCATGTTGGCCAGGTTGGTCTTGAACTCCTGGCCTCAGGTGATCTGCCCGCCTTGGCCTTCCAGAGTGCTGGGATTACAAGCGTAAGCCACCGCGCCTGGCCTCAAGTTTTTCTATGAATGAGCGTTTTTAAATAGTAGAATACCACAGAGAATAATGTAACATACATGTTCCTACCACCCAGTGTTAAATGTTAACAATTTGTCATACTCGTTTTAGTTCTTTTTTGAAAAGAAAAACTTTCAGAGAAGATTTAAGTCTACTTTCTACCCATTCCCAATCCCATTCATTTTCTTTCTTTACTAGTGGCAGCCACTGTGATGATTTTGATGAATATCCTGTCTGTGTTTTAAATTCTTTTATTTGAGAAGGTAATAGTATGCAGCTGGAGCCAGACTGTCTGAGTTTGAATCCTGGTTATGTTCTTTCTTGGCTGTGCAACATGTGACAAATTATTTCACCCTTCTGCAGGTCAGTGTACTTATCCATAAGATGGGACACAGTGATAGCACCAACTCCATGGTGGTTACTACAATGATTACATATATGAGTGAATATATGTAAAGCACTTAGAGCAGTACCAGGCACATAGTAAGTGTTCAAGAAATTTCAGTCATCATTCTAAACATTTGTATGTGTCTATAAACATTGTTTTGTGGGTTTAAAAATGTCTATACATGGGATTAATTAACATCTTTAAAATTTATATATTTTAAAGTCAGAAACACATGTATATAAAGAATGAAGTAGTTCTAGAAGGCTTGTTATAAAAACCAGCAGTTCCCTGATTCTAGAACATTCCTTCTCCAAAAAAAAAAAAAGACATATTCTCCCAGGAGCCAATTGTTTTCAACACCTGTAACTGATTATTTGATGTTTCTAAATACTATTCTTAGATGGCTACTTTTTATTTTCCAGTTTTAGTTATTTTCTTTTGATTTCCTACCATTTAAAATGTAGTCATGTCTGCCTTCACCACACATTGCACACTTCTTGTCCTCTCATCCTCCCAGTTGGTTATAATTTTGGTCAGATTATTATTCAGTATTTGCATGATTATGACTATGTAAAAATTATTGACAGTGGAACTATTTAGTATACTATGATGATGTTTCCTTTCTTGTACACCTTTTTGTTAATAATAGTCTTCATTGTACTTATTTACCTGTTTTTTTATGTATAATCATGAGTTTGAGCCAAGAACGCCTTTATTCCCAGCACTTTGGGAGGCAGAGGCAGAAGGATCCTTGAGCCCACGAGTTCAAGACCAGCCTGGGCAACATAATGAGACCTTGTCTCTACAGAAAAATTAAAAAATTAGCCGGGCTTGGTGGCATGCACCTGTAGTTTCAGCCACTCAGGAGGCTAAGGTGGGAGGACCACTTGAACTCGGGAGTTTGAGGCTCTAGTGACCCAAGATCGTAGCACCTGCACTCCAGCCTGAGTGACAGAGTGAGACTCTGTCTCAAAAAAATAATTTTAAAAACTAGTTTGTTCCTCAGTTCATCCCCAGCAATCCAACTCTCTCTCTCTCTCTGTTTTTTTTTTTGAGACGAATTTTCGCTCTATTGCCCAGGCTGGAGTGCAGTGGCGCAGTATCGGCTCACTGTAACCTCCACCTCCCA